GGCGCGGGCGGCAGCCAGCGCCGCGGCAGCCGCTTCTTCGGCCGCCAGCTGCAGGTCGCCGCGCCTTGCCTCCAGCAGCGTCTCGTCGGCCGTCTCCGCCTCCGCGAGCTCTGCGGCCTCCTGGCGCCTGCCGCCGCGGAGGGCCTCTGCCAAGGCTGCCCCCAGCAGGGTGGGCTGGCAGCCTCTGTGGCCGTCGAGCGCCATGAAGGCCGCCAGCAGCCTCTGCGCCGTGCGGCCCTCGGCGCGGCGCTCCTGCGCGCGGCGCGCGGCGGCAGGGCGGTTCGGCCGCCGGCGCCGCCGGGGCGCGGCCGCCTCCATGCCGGCTGGGGGTGCCGGGACGGCGAGGGGGGAGACGCGGCGCCCGTGCGGCGCCCCTGGCGCTGGCTGGCCAGGCGCGTCGCGCTCGTGCCAGCTGGCGCTAGGAGGAGGAGGAGGAGGAGGAGGAGGAGGAGGAGGAGGAGGATGGAGGAGGAGGAGGAGGAGGAGGGAGGAGGAGGAGGAGGAGGAGAGGAGGAGGAGGAGGAGGAGGAGGAGGAGAGGGAGAGGAGGAGGAGGAGGAGGAGGAGGAGGAGGAGGAGGAGGAGGAGGAGGAGGAGGAGGAGGAGGTAGGAGGAGGAGGAGAGGAGGAGGATGGAGGAGGAGGAGGAGGAGGGGGAGGAGGAGGAGGATGAGAGGAGGAGGAGGAGGAGGAGGAGGGTGTTGGAGGAGGAGGAGGAGGAGGCGGAGGCGGAGGAGGAGGATCGGAGGCGGAGGAGGAGGAGGAGGACGAAGAGGCGGAAGAGGAGGAGGAGGAGGGGAGGAGGAGGAGGAGGAAGAGGCGGGGCCCGTTTTTCTCAGGGCCCTCTCCCTTGCGTCGAACGAGGCGACGGCGGCGACGGCGGCGGACGACAGGCAGACGACGCTCGGGCAGCATGGCCGCAACGCCCGCCCGACAACGAGCCTCGCCCGCGGCCCCTCCCTCGCCCTGCCGCAGGACAACGGGGAGGGGGAACGACGGCTGGAGCTAGGAGGTGGAGGAGGAGGAGGAGGAGAGAGGAGGAGGGGGAGGAGGAGGAGGAGGAGGAGGAGGAGGAGGATGAGGAGGAGGGAGGAGGAGGAGGAAGAGGCGGGGCCCGTTGTTTCTCAGGGCCCTCTCCCTTGTGGCGAGCGAGGCGACAGCGGCGACGGCGGCGGACGACAGGCAGACGACGCTCGGGCAGCACGGCCGCAACGCCCGCCCGACAACGAGCCTCGCCCCGCGGCCCCTCCCTCGCCCTGCCGCAGGACAACGGGGAGGGGGAAACACGGCTGGAGCTAGGAGGGGGAGGAGGAGGAGGAGACTCTGGAGACTCTGATAGCGGACACTGTCCTCTTCCTTGGGCTCCCCAGGGTGGCGCGGCTGCCACTTCCGCCACCTGGGAGCCCACGCCCCGTGCCAGCCGAGCCCCGCCGACGCGTGCGCCACTAGCGCACTCCCGCCGCCAAACGGCGGCCCGCGCCTCAGCGCTGCTGTCAGTCCTTGGGCCTCAACCCCGAATCGTAGGCGCACTCCGCGGCCTCCTGTAAGGCCTGCTCCGCCTTCGCCAGCTGCTCTTGGAGGTATTGAACCTTGACTGTGGCCGCCAGCAACGGAGCCGAGAGGTCCTTCTCCTCCTGGGTGTGCTGGAGGTCTTGCAGCTCCTGGGGGTCCCCCCAGCCCTCGAAGAACTGTTTCTCCTTGGCGTACGGCGCCTCGCACTTGTTCTGTTTCTGGGCCTCGTTCTTCTTCGCCAGCTGGTCGTCCTGGTACATCTCCTGCAGGTCGATGGGGTTGGCGATGCCCTCAAGCACCTCCTTCGTGTTCCCGAGGTCGCACTGTCCCTCGCACGGGAGCTTCGCCGAGCCGTCGAGAATGCTCTTGACCGCCTTCTCGATCGACTCCATCCTCTGGACCAGGGTCTCCGAGACCAAGCTCTGCTTCTCCAGCTGGAACTTCTTGCCGTCGTCCACCTCAACCTCCGAGACCGACGAGCTGTCCAGCTTGGCGGCCCGCCTGCGCCCATGACGCTGGCGCCTCTTCGCTTCCAGGCCTGTCTTGGGGAGCGCCTCGGCCCCCTCCCCGAACATGTCGTGCTCGGCCACGTTGCGCATCGCCAGGACGCCGCCGTCGACGCACGGGATTTTGCCTTGGGCCGCTGCCTCGACCTTCGCCCTCAGGACGGGCTGGATGCGCTGGACACGCGCCTGCACCTCCGCCTCGATATCCTTGTCCTCGAGCGGGCCACCGCCCACCTCAGCCCGGGCAGCGCGCCAGAGGCCGACCGCGACCGCCGCCACCACCTGCCGAGATCCGCCGGCACGAACCACCGCCTCGAGGAGTGCCGACGCCATCGGGTCGGCCATGACCGCGGCCCGCCGCACGGGAGGCAAGCAGGCTCTGAGCCAAAATGGCTACGGATGAGGATGATGATGATGAGGAGGAGGAGGAGGAGGAGGAGATGATGAGGAGGAGGAGGAGGACGAGGGGGGAGGATGAGGAGGAGGAGGAGGAGGAGGGAGAGGAGGAGGAGGGAGGAGGAGGAGGAGGAGGAAGGAGGAGGAGGAGGAGGAGAGGAGGGGGAGGAGAGGAATGAGGAGGAGGAGGAGGAGGAGAGGAGGAGGAGGTTCTCAAAGGCGCGAGGGCTTCTGAAACGTCCCGCCGCCATCTGAGAAGGCCTTCTCCTTCTCATTTCCCCCACTCGCCCGCCGCCGATGTATGTCTTGGTTCCACCTTTGCTGCACAACTGCACCAAACCAAAACCGTCCGTGAGATCGCCCAACAACTAGTTTAGCTCGAACCCTGAGAGGAAGCAGCTTAAAGAGGCGAGGGCGGGACCAGCCATGAGATGACGCCTGCGATTGCGACTGGCGACCGACGGCGGAGGCGGGCGACAGCAACGACGCGGGCGCCGGCCCGCGAGTCGGGGAGCAGTCGGGGGAATGAAACGAATCGTCGGGTGTTGCTAGAAGTACCCCAGGCCCCAGGTGCCCCCAGGATGTCCAAGGAAGCCCTCGCAGCCTTCAGGGCACCCCTCACGAGGCCCAATGGGCCCTAATGGGGCTCCAACATTGAACGAAAAAATAAGGGCACCATGGGCCAGAGGCTACTTCCGCAACCCCCGAACACACGACACCTCCGGCACCGGGCCCGGTTCTTCGCTTCTTCTCGCGGGGGCGCCCACGATTCCACCCCCCCAAAGCTGGGGATGCGGGGTGTCTCCACTACCGAGCGAGAGGACCCCCCCCAGCGGCCAAGCCCCTTCGCGGGCCGTCCTCGTCCTCCAGCTGGCCCGGGCCCGCCACGACGATCGCCATGGGGCCGCCCAGGAGGGGGGGGGGCCCGGCGCGGCGGCCCTCGGCGCGCGGGGCAGCCCGCGGGGGGGAGGCGTGCACGCGCCGCTCCCGCGTGCGCGCGGTGCGGGCCGCATGGCCGCAAATGCCCTACGCCGCGGGAGGCCCGCCGCTCTCCTGGCCGTCTGCGCGCAGGAGTGCCCACACTCGAATCGACGAGTCGCATCGGCGGTGGTGGACAAACCTCCCTTCAGTAAACCTCCCCTTGGTGAAAACGGCCTGGGACCGAAACCGACGGACCTGGACCCGCAAAAATGACGGCCGCGACGCCCTCTCGCGAACCGAAAACGGCAAATTCCTCAATCGACGTGTCAGGGTAGGAGGTCTATCCACCCCCGACATCGGCGTTCGACCCGAATCGAATCGGCGGGCGTCGGCAGCCAAGTCGGGAGAAGCCGGATCGGCGCAGATCGGCAGGCCAGTGAGGCCTCCACTGGGAAATCGGAAGAAGACGAGGCCAGGACGAGGATAAACTCGGGTGAAGGTAAATCGAGAATCTCTAAGATCCAGCGGTTCTGTCCGGAACGCTCTGGAACGGATTTATCCTCGTCCTAGCCTTAGGTCGGGCATGTCCCCCCACCTGGCGGATTTTGGACGAACCATACAAAATAGCAAAACAAAAACTCCCAAATTGTCCAAAGCAGTCCAAACATCGTCCCCAGACTATTTTTGGACAACTTCTACATACTCCTCCTGTATAGGCACATGCCCGACTGGATCCTGGCCCCGTCCGGCGGAATCCAGATCGGACCCCGAAACCCAACCGCATCGGGCCGAAGCGCAGCGCGCCGGATGAGCGCCGCGAGGAGCCCCGGCGTGCGCCCCGCTCCTCCCGCCGAGCTCCTTCCGGTGGCCGCCGCGCCTGGCGAGGGCACGTCCGCCGCGCCGCCCCGCCGCGCCAGGCGGAGACGCAAGGGGCAACGATAAAAGGGGGGATAGGCTTAGGGCGGGAAACATCGGCCGGGAGTCGGCGATGCATCGCCGATGGATCGGCGATGGACCCCCGGTAGTGAATCCGCACGTCCCTGGGCACGTTGGGGCCATCGAGCCCCTTTCGGCGATCAATCGGCGACTCGGGGTCGATGCGGCCCCCCCTATGCCCATTCCCCCTTATCGTTGCCCCTGGAGACGAAGCCAGGGCGAGGATCAAATCGGGTGCCGTCGGCCCGTAGCATAAGGATGCACGTTAAGGATGCCAAGGCCTGGCCATTCTGAGGCTTCTCGAGCGGGGCGCGGCCAACGAGAGTGGCCAAGGATGGACCGAGGAGGCCAGGACGCAAGGGTACCCTTGGAGCCGGTTGATCATCCTCACTATGCGGGTTGACTGTGTGGATGCATCGAGCATCTCTGAGATCTGGCGGCCGTGGCAGATGTCTCGGGCGCCGCGGCCATCTCGGAGCGCCTCGGAACGCTCTGGGAGCGTTCCGGAACGCTCTGGAACGGACTTATCCTCGTCCTGGCCTTAGCTCGGACATGTCTTTCTACAGGCGGATGTTGGACGAACTCTTTTTACAAAAATCAAAGCTACTCAAATAAGAATCAACAAGATGATAGAAAAATCGCCCCCACACCGTTTTCCATTTTTTTGAATATTCCTCCTGTAGAGAGGGGCATGCCCGATCTATTCCTGGCCCCGCCTGACAGGCCGCGCATCACCTCCGAGAGTATGCCGCCCTCCGCCAGGCCGCCGGGGCGGGGAGGGGAGGGGACTCTTGAGGCGGAAAGGGGGGGGGGCGGCGAGGGGGGGGGGGCGTGGCGAGGAGCGGGAGGGGAAGAGCACGAGAGGGAGGGGGGAAGGGGGAAAACGGGGGAGGGGGGGGAGGGGGAAGAGGTGGCGGGGGCGACGCGGGGTGACAACGGGCAGGCGGGGGGGAGGGGCGGGGCAGGCGAGGGGAGGGATGAAATTGGGCAGGAGGCGGAAGGGGACAACGCAGTGGGCGGGGAGAGGGAGGAAGGAGAGGCAGAAAAGAAGGGGATGGGGAGGGGGAAGTGGGATGCGAAACGAAGCGATGCGGAGGGTCAATGCGAATATTAAAAATAAAGGGGGATCGGAGGATTGGGGGTGAGACGAGAGAGAGAGAGAGAGAAGGGAACCTCCAAATGCATGACCTGGCATCGAAAGCCGCGGCGCTGGTATATCCAGGCGCCCTCCCACTCCCGCCGCCGCCATCTGATTCAAAATCCTTCTACCTCTCCTGTTCTCTCTCTCTCTCTCTCTCTTTCCCTGTTCTCTCTCTCTCTCTCTTTCCCTCACCCTCCATCTCTCTCTTTCTCTCTTTCTCTCCCTCTCCCTTTCTCTCTCTTTATCCATGCCCCTGTCGCTGTCATTATTCCTTTTTTGTTGCCTCTTTCTTTGTCTCTGTCTCTGTCTGTCTGTCTCACTCTCTCTCTCTCTCTCTCTCTCACGCCATATCATGACTACATGTGTACCTCTCCCGCCGTCTTTCTTCCATCATCCCTGCCTTCCTGCACTCCCCTCCCTCCTCTCCCACCACGTCCTTCCTCCACCACGCCCCCCCGCCCCACCCCGCCCCCTTGCACGCCCGATCTCTCGCCCACAGCGCCCTCCGCCGCCTGTTGCCCTCCGTCTCCCTCGCGTGGCCCTCCTCCTGCTCCCCTGCTGGTGTTGTTTGTAGCATCGGAGTCCGCAGGTGTCCCCCGCTGTGGTGTGGGAACGAGACACGTGCCTAGCCCACGCGCCCTAGTCCAGGTTTGCGGTTCCTCGGCCCTTGACCCTCCTCCTCTGTCCCCCTCCCCGCCGTGTTCCCCCTAATCCCTCCCCCCCCCGCCACTGGCATGGCTCGAGCTAAGCAGTGTCTTACGCATTCGTTTTGTTTTCGTTTGCCCCTCGCTTTGCTTTCGTTCCGCCTTCGCTGCAAAGTGAATGCAGAACGAAAGCGGTTCACGAACTCGTCAAAACACTGTTTATCCCGTGCCCTGCAGGGGACACCGGGATGGGTCAGGGCTCGCTAGAGGTCGCGGACTTGCTCCCCCTCCCCTGACCCTCCTCCCCCCTCCCTCTCCCCGCCATGCTCCACCACTCCCTCTCCCCCCCCCCCTGCTCTTCCCTTCCCTCTCCCCGCCCTGCCGCTCCCCCCCCCCCCGCCGCCTCTGGACGCCTCCCAGGCCCGCCGAAGACGGCCGAGAGCCGACCGAATGACCGCCGAGGGCATGGCGGCACCATAAGCTCACGTCGGCACACCTCTCACGCGCTTTACGGCCTCATAGGGATCTCTACCGAAGGCTGCCGGCGAATCTGGGGGGGGGAAGCGAGAGGGGAGGCAAGCCTTCTTAGAAGGCAGTGGGGCCTCTCAGAAACACTCTGGCCTTCTGAGAAGCCGCCCCTGTCTTCGGAGAGGGCTTCGAACACTTCTCAGAAGGCTGGAGGACTGACGAGCCTTCTGAGAAGGCCTGCCCCCTCTGATTTCCCCCCTGGGCTCGCCGCCGAGAATGTCCCAGCGGAAGGGCCCGCATGGCAACGTCGCACCCGTGCCGAAGGCACCGCTCTCACGTTGCGTGGCCCTCGCGAGGAGTTGACCCCCTCGTCTCGCCTGCCTCGCGGCACTCCCGCTCGCACCTGGTTGGATTCTTTGCCATGCAACTTTCCCAACCATCCTGCGTTGAATCGGGTCCTAGTTTTGAATCTGCAGCGTCCCACGTCCTCTCTCCTCCCATCCCTGCCTCTGATCTCCCTTCGTAAAATTCGTGGCACACTCGCGACTTCTTAGGCCATAGGGAGCCCCACAACACGACCCAGCGTCAGGGTCCGCATGACGGCGCTGCGATTTCGGCACACCCCTCACATGTCTCGTGGCCGAAAATGCACGAACACCTAGGCGCTGTCGTCGTCACCTTTATCGCCGTCGTCGTCCCCCCCTCCTGCTCCTGCTCCTGCTCCTCCTCCTCCTCCTCCTGCGCCTCCTCCTCCTCCTCCTCCTCCTCCTCCTCCGCCTCCTCCTCCTCCTCCTCCTCCTCCCTGCCATGCCCCCTGCCCTCGGCGGAGACGGGCGCGGGCGGAGGCGCGTGACGGCGTTGGCGCAGCCGGGCGGCACGAGGTGCGAGATGTCCTCGCGCGCGCGACACGCCTTCGCCTCCCGAGCCTTCCCCGTCCACCCTCCAGTGGGGGCGTGCGGGAGGGTGGAGGAGCTGCCCCGAGGCTTCTGGGTTCGAAGCTTCGAACTTTCGGGCGCTTCGTCGCTTCTCGGCGGCTCTCCAGTCCCAGGACGCCTTCCGGCGTCTGCGCCTCGCCGAGAGCTGTCGCCGGGGGGGGCTCAGATCGTCCCGTACGGCCGCCAGAGGCCCGAGTTATGACCCGAAAGCTGGGGGTCCTGGCCCAGGTAGAAGCCTTCTAGATGGGGCCAAGGTAGATGGTGTCGAAGGATCGCGCCGCATCGCCAATGCATCGCCGATGCATCGGCGACGTCGTCGATGCATCGGCGCCGTTGGCGTGGAGAAAATCGGGCTCCACATCGAGCCGCATCGCCGATGCAATGCGGCGCGATCCTCCGACCCCACCTGCTCGGACCCCATCTGAGAGGCCTGGCGTTAAGGACCTGTCGTCAAAGCCAACCAAAACACAGCAGTAGACGAATAACAAACTGCATAAACATTGACTTTTAGAGGTCCGCGGGGACTTCTTGGATCTGCAAGGTAACCCCAAGCGCCGACAATGTATGCTTGTGCCGTTGTTTCTACTTCGAAATACGTGCCCGCCCAACAAAATACGATGTTCAATTGCAAAACAACCCATTCAAAAGAACTCCCCGGACCTTCCCAGACAACCCAAGAGCCGCAGCGCCGACGCATCGGCGATGCGGCGCGGTCCTCCGACTCCACCTGCTCGGACCCCATCCTGGGAGGCCTAGATTGTAGGCTTAAGGTCGGGCTTGTCCTCCTACAGGCGGAACTTGGAAGATCTCCTGTAGAATGGAAACAAAAATAGCCGCAACAACATCGACAAATCGTCCCCGCACTCTTTTTCGATCATGTTTACAAATTCCTCCTGGAGATGGACACGCCCGACATAATTGCAGGCCCCGGGGCCCGAAACGAACCCCGTTTGAAAGTGCTCGGCCGCCCGCGCCGGCGCCGGCGCCGCCGAGGCGGAGCACCCGGGCCTGCCGCTGAGGGAGAGGGCGCGGCTCGGGCGCTCGTCATCGGCGGCGAGCGAGGGGGGGAGTGAGAAGGAGCAAGCGCTCTCGGGAGGAGGAGGCGGGTGGAGGAGGGCGAGGAGGAGGCGGAGGGGGCGGCATAATAGAGGAGGGCCTCTCGGAAGCCCCTGCACCTTCTGACAAGCTGTTCGTGTCTCCGGGGAGGGCTTATAGGACTCTTCTCAGAGGGCCGGAGCACTTCCGAGCCTTCTGAGGAGGCACGCCCCTTCTGCCTTCCCCCCCCTGGGGGGGGCCGCGGTGGCAGTCCAGGAGCCGTTGGGGGCCCACCTTGGCGCCACGCTCCTTCAATCCTCGATCCCCCCACGTCCATTTGGGCATCGTTTCACCGATCCCTATCTCGGGGGCCGCAAAGAGGGGGGTTGTCCAAGAGGGGGGGGTGCAAGTCATGACCGGCGGCTTGTGCGCGGCCCAGCGGGGGGGCCAGGGACGTAATGAAATAAGAAGAGGCGCCGTGAAATCTGGGGAAATATCATGGCCCCCGCCATGATATCCCCCCCCCCTAGTCATCACCCCCCTCTTTTCCGCCCCCGACGATCCCCACTCGCGTGGCCTGGGCCCCACTGGCTGGTTCACCCCCCCTAGATGCTGTAGGCAGTTTCTGTCAGAGTTCGAAGGTCCTATCTCCCGCACTGGGGGGATGAGATGGACGGGGTCTGGATGGGGATGGGGATGTGGATCGGTTAAACGATACTGACCACTTCCCCCTCCTCCTTGCCATCCTCCTCCTCCTCTTCCTCCGCCTCCTCCTCCTCCTCCTCACCCGAGGAGCCTGATCTCAGACGCAGCCGCCGAGGACCCGTCACCGGCCCCGCTCCTTGGGAGCCACTGCGCCGCTGCCCGCCCCGAGCCATGCCGAGTGGGAACGCTAGGGAGGGCTGGCTCCCCAAGGGGAGGAGGAGGAGGAGGAGAAGGAGGAGGAGGAGGAGGAGGAGGAGGCGGAGGAGGAGGAGGAGGAGGCGATGGACCGCAAGCATGTCGGCGATATGCCTCCGAGAACGAATCCGCACGGTCATGGGCGGGGCAGGCCATCGGGCCCGGATGCGCGATCCTTGGGCGATTGCTGGTCGACGTGTCCTCGCCCGGAGCCTGGCCCCTCCGAGCGTTGCCCCCGACCTACACGCCAGCTCCTCCTCCTCCCCAGACCCCTGACTTCACGATCTGCGTTCGTGGCATTGGCCCGCGGTGCCCTCGACGTCCTCCCTGCAATCCAAGAGTTGCAAAACAGCGAAAACAAACTGCCGTCTCGACTTCGTCAAGTCGCCAAAGGTCTGGGTTCTCTTCCTCGACGTTCTTGACATAATCATCCTTCTCCTCCACTTCCTCCTCCTCCTCAAGCTCCTGCTCCTCATCCCTCTCCCCTCCTTACCTCCTTCTCCCCCCCCTCCCATTCAAGTGATATCTTGGCTCAAACTTTTTAGCATCAGCAACCCAAGTCCCTCGGCGCCTCCACTTGGAGCTTGGGAGGGGGCCCAGCGTGTGCTCCGAACAGCACAGTGGAGCGGTGCGTGGAAGCAAAGAGCGAGGGGCAACAACGACGTAGACAACGGCTACTTCGACTGCGCCGTCCTCATCCTTGGATCGTCTGGTTAAAATTGCCGAACGATTCTCGTCAACTTGACTGGTGGGAAAATGTTGGCCCTGTGCCGGGCAATCGCAACACGACTGGTGAGACGAGGCCGGTCCTGTGCAGGCATGTCTCCGTACGACATTCGGCAGATGGGATCTACGGCCCTGTGCAGGCCTGTTTCGATACGGCTAAGGGAACGGTCCTGGCCATGTGCATGCCTATTTCAATACTGGCGGGAGCGTTCTCCGCCTGCGCAGGCTCATGCCAACACGCTTGGTGGGTGAACTCGCAACGCGACCACGTCCTCATAATTCATCTTTATCGACTGGTAAAGCATTCTGGCCCTCTGCAGGTTCGACCACTAGGAGGTCTGGCCCTGTGCGAGACTACGGCACGGCAATTAAGACTCCGTGTATGGATCGCGAGTGAGCCGCTCCCTGGGCTTCCTCCCCCAGGTCGGGAGAGAGGACGCGGAGGAAGGGGCTCCGTCTGCAGGTTCGGTACTGCTCACGGCTCGGCGACGACATGTTCGTCCCGCGGGAGCCTCTGTGTGGCGTCCTGCAGGCCTGTTGCAGCACGACTGCTGTGAGAAAAGCTTTTGACCCTGCGCGCGGCATACCGCCCCCGCGCGCGCGGCCCTCGGGGCCGGGAGTCCCTGGGCGACCACCGGCCGCAGCCCTCTCCGCCGGGGACCTCACCTCGACCTCGTCGCCGCGTCGCGAAGAGGAGCCCGGCGGCGGCACGGCGACACCGACGGCATGTTGAGCCGCGTCGGCTGGCCAGCGGTCTGGGCAGCCACGCTGCCGGCTGCCACCCTCGACATGGGCAGCCCGCGAGGGAGGAGAAGGGAGCGGTCCACATGCTCCCACACACGCCATCGCAAGCAAATCGGAAGGCACCAGGACCAGCTTGTCAGGCCCCGATGTACCGCCGCGCTGGCATATCTGAGCATTGATGGGGATGCTTCACCCCTGGACAAGCCTGTTCAATACGGCTGGTGGGCCGTCTCTTGCGGCGGCGGCGACGTCTTCATCGACTGGAAAGTTCTGGCCGTGTGCAAGCCTCCCTCAATATGGCTGGTAGGACTGTGCTGGCCCCGTGTTCGCGAGTGCGACTGGTTGGGTTGATCTGGACCCGCGCCAGCATGCCTCGAAAGCTGGGCGAGGGCTGCTACAACCGTGGCTGCTAAAACGGCCCTCCCGAAGGAAAACACAGCTTCCCGGAATGAGGCGCGGCACGCGAAACAGTCAACGGGCTCCTTCCCGGAAGGACGAAGACAACTTCCCAGAGGTCGATTTTAGCAGGGATTTAGCAGCCCTTGCCCGGCTTCCGAATACCTTGGGCCGACTGGTGGGCTGCCGGGCCCGGTGCAGGCCAGGCCTATCTCAACATCGTTGGTGGGATCTTCCGGGCACTGTGCAGGACGAGTCTTCGGGACCCGCGGTGATAACGGCGACAGAGTCTGCGTTGCGTGGGCTGCTCCTACTGAGGCCAGGTCTTACTTTGCCTTGGGGATCACGTATGTGAGACTGGCTGGTCATTTTGAACACGATGATGTATCTGTGCTGCTGCGGCGGCGGGGGATCCTTATATTGACATGCGTCGTTGCCTGGGCAGGCCTGCAGTTGCTGTTTGCACCTTGCCTGTGCGGGACTGGGGCTGCTGTACTTTGAAAGCGAACCACTGCCAGACTCGCTGCATGGGCTGCCCCGCGCTACTTGGAGAGAGATCGTTGATTCGATCGAGTATCGCTGTTGTGAGCGGCCCGCGCTGACAGTGCGAGCACACGTGCCGCAGATGCTTCTCGCAGAGCACCGGTCACACCAAGGCTCCAAGGGCAGAGAACTGCCAGGGACTGGCCGCCAGGGCAGGGAGGACTCCCCCTAATATCAGGTCGGGCGTGTCCTCCTACAGGCGGATTTGGGAGGAGAAATGGAAACATAGCCCAACAGATCCTAAACCATAGTCAAGCATACTCGAAAGATCGCCCCTGGCTATTTTCTGACTAGTTTTGAGCATTCCTCCTGTAGAGGGACACGCCCGGGACACCGAATCCCGCAAGGCTGTCGAACCCTGGACAGCGAACGGAAGGTGCCGCACGTCGCTCGGCACGTTCCTCCTCGCGTAATCAAAAATTACCCTGTGACGCACCCAACCCATTTGTATCATGGGAAACGAGGAGTTGGCCGAAACTTGCATGGACAATCAAATTGCAGGATCCGTTGTTTGATATGTAAGCTACTTGGGACACGCGCCTATGGCATGATGCACAGGAGAACCATACAAGAACGAGGGGCGACAACTACAGGCTCGAAGAGGACATGGGGAGTCGGGAACGAAGAGCAGGAGAAAGACGTGCGGGAAGCCCACTGTGCTGTGCCCCTCAGCAGCCCTCGAAAGTGGCGACAGTTTCACAGATCGCAGCCCCCCAGGGATGGCGAGGTCCCATCTGAGTCTGCGGTGAGTACCCACTGTGCTGTGCCCCTCAGCAGCCCTCGAAAGTGGCGACAGTTTCACAGATCGCAGCCCCCCAATGATGGCGAGGTCTAATCTGAGTCTGTGGTGAGTGCCCACTGTGCTGTGCCCCTCAGCAGCCCTCGAAAGCGGCGACAGTTTCACAGATCGCAGCCCCCCAGGGATGGCAAGGTCTAGTATGAGTCTGCGGTGAGTACCCACTGTGCTGTGCCCCTCAGCAGCCCTCGAAAGTGGCGACAGTTTCACAGATCGCAGCCCCCCAGGGATGGCGAGGTCTAATTTGGGTCTGCGGTGGGTACCCACTGTGCTGGGCCCCTCAGCAGCCCTCGAAAGTGGCGACAGTTTCACAGATCGCAGCCCCCCAGGGATGGCGGGGTCTAATCTGAGTCTGCGGTGAGTACCCATTGTGCTGGGCCCCTTTAGCAACCTTTGAAAGTGGCGACCGTTTCACTGATCGCAGCCCCCCAGGGATGGCGAGGTCTAATTTGAGTCTGCGGTGAGTGCCCACTGTGCTGGGCCCCTTCAGCAGCCCTCGAAAGTGGCGACAGTTTCACTGATCGCAGCGCCCCAGGGATGGCGAGGTCCCATTTGAATCTGCGGTGAGTACCCACTGTGTTGGGCCCTTTCAGCAGCCCTCGAAAGTGGCGACAGTTTCACAGATCGCACCCCCCCCCAGGGATGGCGAGGTCCCATTTGAATCTGCGGTGAGTGCCCACTGTGCTGTGCCCCTTCAGCAGCCCTCGAAAGTGGCGACAGTTTCACAGATCGCAGCCCCCCAGGGATGGCGAGGTCAAAGGCAGGGGGGAAGAGAGGGACGGGAAGCAAGGAAGCAAGGAAGGAAGGTTCGCGCGAGCAGTGCTCTATTCAAAACGAGAACCCAACGCAGGAGGGTTGGGTGGTGTGGAAACCGCTCATCTCAATGAGCCGTGAATGCGCCGCGCACGTCTGGGCGTACAACGAAGGGAGTGTCCCGCAGAGGCTGTCCTGTGGAGGCCGGCGCGGGGCGCCGCGGGCCTGCGCGGCGTGGCGCGCCGAGCCTGGAGGCGTGGTCTCTCCACGGCCCCGTGGGCCCCTCCTCCTCCCCCTCCTCCCTTCTCCCTCCTCCCTTCTCCCTTCTCCCTTCTCCCTTCTCCCTCCATCCTCCTCCCTCCTCCCTCCTCCCTCCTCCCTCCTCCCTCCTCCCTCCCTCCCTCCCTCCCTCCCTCCCCTCCCTCCTCCTCCTCCCTCCTCCCTCCTCCTCCTCCTCCCTCTCCCTCCCCTCCTCTCCTCCTCCTCCCATCCTCTCCCTCCCTCCCTCTCCTCCCTCCTCCTCCCCCCACCCTCACCCTCCTCCTCCCCTACCTCCTCCCCCTCCTCCTCCTCCTCCTCCTCCTCCGTCCTCCTCCTCCTCCCTCGCTCGCTCCCTCCCTCCTCCCCCATCCCTCCCTCCCTCCCTCCTCCCTCCCCTCCCTCCCCCTCCCTCTCGTCCCCCCTCCGTCCTCCCCCATCCCCCCCCCCTCCCTTCTCCTCCCCTCCCCTCCCTGCCTCCCTGCTCCCTCCCTCCCTCCTCACCTCCTTCCCCTCCCTCCTCCTGCATGCCCCCCTCCCTGCCTCCCTCCCCTCCCTCCCTCCCTCCCCTCCCTCCTCCCTTCCCCCTCCTCCCTTCTCCCTCCTCCCTCCCAGCGCCGCCCCACGGGCCGCCGAGGCCCCCCCCCCGCCGGTGCCGAGGGCGCAGCCCCCCGTGCGGGCCTGCCGGCGCTCCACCCTGCCCCGCAGCAGCGTCGAGGAGACGGCGGCGAACTCGGGGTTGGCCTGGCGGCGCCCAGGGCGCCCCCTACAGGCCTGCACGCCCTCTCCTCCCGCCCCCCCCTCCCCCACACCTCCCCAGAGAGCACCCGAGCTCACCCCCTCCGCGACGGCCCGCCCGCGCCCCCTGGACGCGCGGCCGGCCCGGGGAGGCTGGGCGAGCGGGGTTGGCCTGGCGGCGCCCATAACCAGCCTCGAACTTATCCCTATCCCTGAGGTGGGCGAGCAAAACGCGAGGACAAGCTTGGGGATAGGCCCTCAGGAACGGAGGGAATCCTGAAGATCGGCATCGAGGTGAGGTGATGTCAACCATTGGGATCGGGATATGTTTCAAACTGGTAAGCCCAGGAGCCCCCTTCGCCTTATGTCGCCCCGGAGCAGGTGCCAAAATATGACATCAACGAGCACACGACGTACAAGTGTGACAGCGCGAACAGAAAACACAACACGTGAAATCCGAATCGGCCTTCAACGGAAGTGTGAATTTAAGGAAACACCGAGGTGCAAGTTTGACTTCGGCGAAACATCGAGATACAAATATGACGTCGGCGACGAACGGAAATACACATTCGCCCGAATGGAATTGCCCCCTCTCCCCGTGGCCGAGGGCCGCGCCAACGGGGAAAGGGGGCAGCAGGGGATGGGACCCTGACGTCCTCCCGTCGAGGAAAAACACAGCAAGCCATTTCTGTGAATTCTTGGTGGCCTGCAGAAACGGGCCGTCAACAAAACCGACTCGGAATGAGAAGCCGGTCCGGGGGGGATGGGACCAGACTGGGCGGCGAGCCCGGGGGGAAAGCAGAAGGGGCGGACCTTCTCAGAAGGCTTGGAAGTCCCCTGGCCTTCTGAGAAGTTTCCTGAGCCTTCTCGACAGGCACAGCTCTGAAGGCTGGAGGGCTTCTGAGAAGCCCCGCCGCCTTCCGAGAAGGCCTCCTCCTTCTCACTTCCCCCCCTCGCTCGCCGGCGACAGACCTCGGCAGAGCCGAGCTGCGGACCAAATTATCCCGGCAAAGCAACCTAATTGCGATGTGTATAAGCATATCTGGAAGCATCCCCATCGAGATTCAGGTGAGAATCCAGTTGTAGAATTCTGCTGCTCTCGCAGTCGCAGTCGCATTCGCAATGACAGTCGCAGTGGCAACGGCCTTAGGATCCAATGTAATCCTAAGGATTCCTAGGGATTCCTAAGGCATCCTTATGCATTCTTAGGAATTCATAGCAATCCTTAGGAAACCTTAGGAATCCTGATTCCTAGGGATTCCTAGGAATTCCTAAGGATTCCGGAGGAATCCTAAAGATTCCTAAGGATTCCCGAGGATGCTTAACTATGCCTACGGATTCCTAAGGATGCCTACGGATTCCTAAGGATTCCTAGGGATTCCTAAGGATTCCTATGGATTCCTACGGATGCCTCAGCCTGCCTCAGTTTCAGCCTCAGCCTGCATTCCTCAGTCTCAGCCTCAGCCTGCCTCGGCCTCAGCCTCAGCCTGCCTCAGCCTCAGCCTCAGCCTGCCTCGGCCTCAGCCTGCGTCAGCCTCAGCCTCAGCCTGCCTCAGCCTCAGCCTGCCTCAGCCTCAGCCTCAGCCTCAGCCTCAGCCTCAGCCTCAGCCTCAGCCTCAGCCTGCCTCAGCCTCAGCCTGCCTCGGCTTGCCTCAGCCTCAGCCTCAGCCTGCCTCGGCCTCAGCCTGCCTCGGCAACAGCCTGCCTCAGCCTCCCCTCCTCCCCCCCCGCCCTTCCCCCCCCCTTCAGCCTCACCTTGTCTGAGCTTCGGCCTGCCTCGGCCTCATCCTCATCCTCAGCCTCAGCCTCAGTCTCAGCCTGTCTCGGCCTGAGCCTGCCTCGGCCTCAGCCTCAGCCTGCCTCAGCCTCAGCCTGCCTCAGCCTCAGCCTCAGCCTGTCTCAGCCTCAGCAGCAGCCTCAGCCTCAGCCTCAGCCTGCCTCGGCTTGCCTTGGCCTCAGCCTCAGCCTGCCTCGGCCTCAGCCTCAGCCTCAGCCTCAGCCTGCCTCAGCCTCACTGCTCAGCCTCAGCCTCAGCCTGCCTCAGCCTCAGCTGGCCTCAGCCTCAGCCGCAGCCGCAGCCTCAGCCTGCCTCAGCTTCAGCCTCAGCCTCAGCCTGCCTCGGCTTGCCTCAGCCTCAGCCTCAGCCTGCCTCGGCCTCAGCCTCAGCCTCAGCCTGCCTCAGCCTCAGCGCCAGCCTCTCAGCCTCAGCCTGCATCAGCCTCAGCCTCAGCCTCAGCCTGCATCAGCCTCAGCCTCAGCCTGCCTCAGCCTCAGCCTCAGCCTGCCTCGGCCTCAGCCTGCATCAGCCTCAGCTTCAGCCTGCCTCAGCCTCAGCCTGCCTCAGCCTCATCCTCAGCCTGCGTCGGCGTGCCTCAGCCTCAGCCTCCTGCCTCGGACTCAGTCTGCCTCGGCCCCAGCCTGCCTCAGCTCGAGCATTCAAAACATGGCACAGGACTGGTGTTCTGGGAACACGAAGATCATGAAGTAGCCCACAGTTGGCTCCGGGCAATCAAAATATGGTACAGGAATGGTGTTCTGTGAACACGAAGAACACGAAATGGCCTACAATTGGCTCCGGGCATTCAAAATGTGGCCTGGGAATGATGTTCTGGGAACACGAAGAACACGAAGTGGTCTACAGTTGGCTCCGGGCATTCAAAATGTGGCCTGGGAATTGTGTTCTGGGAAGACGAAGAACACGAAGTGGCCTACAGTTGGCTCCGGGCATTCAAAATGTGGCCTGGGAATTGTGTTCTGGGAACACGAAGAACACGAAGTGGCCTACAGTTGGCTCCGGGCATTCAAAATGTGGCCTGGGAATGGTGTTCTGTTGGCTCCGGGCAGTCAAAATGTAGCTCCTGGCAACCAAAATGGGGAGTCCCCGGTTTTCCCCGGCATCCCCCGGATCCTGCCCAGACCCCCCTGGGGAATCAGGATGCTCTCTTTTGACCCCACTAGAAACCTATCAGTCTTCGCTGTTAGGTAAAAACACGACGTCGGATGTCTGGGCGGGGGGGGTGCAGAGGGGAGGGGTGGGGGCAGAATGGGGGGAGACCAGGATGATGGACATAGGCGCCGCTGAAGCCCCGCATCGCCGTGGCGGTCGTCGTCTCCTCCTCCTTCTCCTCCTCCTCCTCCTCCTTCTCTTCCCGCTTGCTCCTTGCCAAGGCTCTCCCTCCCCTCCGCCCTCTCAACCCTCTTGGGGGTCCCCTGGGGCGCTCCTGGGGGGCCCTTCTGGACCGTCTTCAGGCACCTGGGGCACCCTTGGAGCGCTCCTGGGCCGTCCTGGGGCACACTCTGGCGCGTCTGACGTGAAATCAAACCGTTTTCGGGGCCTCCGTCTTGGGGGCGTCTTTGCCGATCCAGGGAGCCCAGGGAGACCCCCGGCATCCCCATGTGTTCCCGAAGTCCTGGTCCTGCCCTCCCACCCCGTCAACATATATATATATATATATATATATATATACATATATACAGATACACAAACATACACATATATACACAGATATCTATACACATGTAATGTACACGTGTATATATAAAAATAAATATGCACACACGTCCTTACACGGTGTGAATGGAAGTACGTGCATGTCTATGCATATGCGTGTATCTATGCACACGTATACCTGTTCTCTCTCTCTCTCTCTCTCTTTCTCTCCCTCTGACCCCCCGGCCTGCTCTCGTTGTACCCTCGCTCTCCGATTGAACTCGATCTCTCAATATCTCTCTCCCTCTCTCTTGTGCTCGCTTTCTCTCTCTCTCACACTTCGATTCTGGAAAGACGCTCTCTACTCGTTCTGCTCTGTACTCTCTATTATCTACTCTCTCGTTGCAACCACTACTCTCTCAACTGTCTCATGCCTTAGGGGAAGACTTTCCTATCGACGAATGTTTGCCAGCGTGGACCAGAAGTAGTGAGATGTTACACTGCGCATGTGTAAGCTAAGTAGTGTGATATACGAAGTGTGAGAGTTGTGTCAGATGTAAGGTACTATGTGGCGAAGCATAGGTGGTGCAATCTATGTAGTGTGGGCAATGCAGTGTAAGTTATTCGGTGCAATCCATGTGTTCTGAGCTATATGGTGTGCGCTAAGGTGGTGCACTCGATCTGGTGTGAGCTGTGGTGCGAGCTATGAGGTACAGTCTAAGTGGTGCAATTCACTTTGACTGTCTTGAAACTGTCCTCTCCACTGCTCGTGCAAACATCCCACCCTCCCACCCGCAACTTGGTCGCAAGACCTCTTAAGACCGTGACGGTAGGTACCAAATGGCACTTGGCAGCGACACCGACGCCGACGACGACAGCGACAACGACGACGACGACGCCGCCGACACCGACTACGACGACACCGACGTCTCCAACGACTTCGACGACGACGACAACGACGACGACGACAACGACGACGACACCGACAACGACGACGACGCCGACGACGACGATGACAACGCCGACAACATCGACGACGCCGACGACGACGACGCCGCCGACGACGAGGACGAAGACGACGACGACGTCGTCAACGAAGAAGACGACGACGAGGAGGGAGGACGACGACGGCGACAACGACGACAACGACGAGGGAGGAGGGAGGACGGCGACGACACGAACGACGAAGAGAGAGGGAGGACGGCGACGCCGACGACGACAACGACGAGGGAGGAGGGAATACGACGACGACGACGACGACGGCGACGAAACAGGAGGGACGACGACGAGACGTCGACGACGGACGACGATGTCGAGTGAGGAGGAAGGACGACCATGGCGACATCGACGACGGAAACGACGACGACGTCAAAGAGGACGACGACGACGAGAAACAAGAGGACGACAACGGCGACGACGACGACAACGACGAGGGAGGAGGGAAGACGGCGACGACGACGACGACAACACAAGAACGCGCGCGCGCACACGCTTTTGTTGAACATCCGTGTTGCAACACCCTGTGTGTTTGTATGTTTTTTTGGACACTCGATTTCGAAATCCTTGCGACACTGTA